TTAATGTGCATATTGTGTGATAAAAGTTTTGCTACCCTGCTTTCTTGTCATTTCCATTTGCATGGAATATCTTTTTCTACCCTCTTTCTTTCATACTGTGTGTGTCCTTCACCCTAAAGTGGGTCTATCGTAGGCAGCATATTGTATGCTCTTGTTTTATTATCCAGTCTGCCACTCTGTGTCTTTTGATTGGAGCATTTGATCCATTGACATTTATTGTTACTATTGATAGCTGTGTATTTATTGCCATTTTAAACTTTGTTTTTCAGTTGATTTTTTATTTCTTCTTTTTTTGTTTTTGTGGTTTGATAATTTTCTTTTGTACTAGGTCTATTTCTTTTTGATTTTGTGACTATTGTATTCTTTTGATGTGCTTACCCTGTTTTTCAGCATGTTAACCGATTACTACATTGATTTGCTTTAGACTAGTAGTCATATAGGCTCAAACACATCCTCAAAGAATGAAAAAAAAGTTCTACATTTTCTTGCTCCTCACTTCTACATTTTGATTTTGATGTCCTCTTTTGCATCTTCATGTTTTATTCTCTTGCTCTTCATTGCAGTTATTGCATTTCCAATTGTGGTTTTCTCTTTTCTATAGATTCATGCTTTTTTATTTATAGAAGACCTTTCAATATTTCTTTTAGGATATTTAGTATTGCCTTTCAGTTTGTTGATTTCTTTTGGCTTTTTACTTGTCTGAGAAACTGTTTATGTTTCTTTTAATTCCTAAGGATGGTCTTGCTGGGTAGAGTATCCTAGGCTGCAAGTTTTTCTCATTCAGGACTTTGAATATATCTTGCCACTCCTGGCCAGCAATGTTTGTGTAGAGAAGTCAGATGAAAGCCTTATGGGAGTTCCCCAACTAAGTCTTTGTTTTTCTCGTCCTTCTTTAGAATCTTCTTTGTCTTTAACTTTAGCTATCTTAATTATAATATATCTTGGTGTAGGTCTGTTTGGGTTCATCTTGTTTGGGACCATCTGTACTTCCTGTACTTGAATATCTGATTCCTTCTTTAGGTTTGGGAAGGTTTTGGTCATAATTTCTTCAAATACTTTTTCAATCCCTTTTTTTCTTTCTTTTTCTGGGACTCTTACTATGGGTAGATTGATACACTTTATATTGTCTCTTACTACTTTCATTTGTTTTCATTTGGTTTCCTGTCTGCTGTTTTGGTTTTGTGATTTCAATTATCCTGTCTTCTAAATCACTTCATTTTTCTGCTGCTATTGGCTGCCTTTAGCTCGACTTTTATCTTGGCAGTTGAGTTTTCTGATTTTAATTGGCTCCTCTTTGTAGTTTAATTTCCTTTTTACAGTATTCTACATTTCTGTTGATAGCCTATCTTATTTTCTTCAGTGCTTTTATCATCTCTTTTTTCATCTCATGATCCAGTAGACTGTGAAGGTCTATTTCGTTGTTTGATTTTTTGAGGGCTTCTCTTGTTCTTTTAATTGGGATTTTTTCTTAGCTTCTTCATTTTACTTATATTTCTCTGATGGTGTGAATTTAGGAGTGACCGTTATCTACTGTGGTCTTGAAGGGCCCCCCTTTTTTTTAAAATGTGGTTGTGTCCCTGTGTGGACTGTGCATCTAATTTTTTTGTCCCCAGGGCTGTTTCAGTATGGATGGTTGCCACGTCTTTCCTCTGTGTGTGCTGCCTGTTATCCTCTTGATTGGGGGTGTTAGTGGTGGTGTGGTGACCAGGGCCTGAACTAGTTGTTGAGCAGGGCCTCTTTCCTCTGTGGTTGTCACAGTCCTGACAGGGCCTGAGTCTGCGTCCTGCATCCCTGTTGTTGGGATAGAGGCTTCAAGACCCGTTTCTGGGCGGCAGTGTGTGGTAGGCAGGACTAGAGCGATTCCATTGGAAGAAAAACTGCTGAGTATTCCTCCACCGGAAATGTCCACTGGAAAGTGCCTTCGTCGTGCGGGCTTATGGGGTACACTTTGTTGTTGCTGCCCTTGTCCCTACCTCAGCTGTGGGAATGTTGGCAACCTGCTCTACTGTCCCCAAGGTTCTGTGCCCACAGAGCCATTAGGGCAGATCTGCTAACATCAGGCACTAGGACCCGCCATAGTGCCCTTGCAGTCATGCACCTGGATCTACTCTGAGCCACAGGGTCAGCGCAGACCCCAGACCCACGTCAGCATACACAGGCCTGCTGTTAACACCAGACTCGCCCCCACCATGGGCCAGAATTCTGGTTGTCTAGAGGAGGGGGTCCACAAAGACACCAGCATAGCAAATCTGCCACCACTGCCTGGGCTCGATTCAAATCGCATTCCCACCTGCAAACCCTGGGAATGGATTCAGGTTTCAGCCCTGCCTGGGAGCCATGCACCAGCAATTGTGCTCCTCCCGAGCGGGCTGAGAAGATGATTGTGTCTGAATCCCTGCCCCTCTGTTCGTGAGGCCATGGCACCAATGATGGTGCTGAGCAGTGCTCTCTGGGCTAGTGGAGATGGCTGCTAATCCGGGCTGCATTGCGTCCCTCCCTCTATACAGACCAGCATTGGTGCTTTCTGTAGGGGGACCTGGGCTGTTATGGACACACTCACAGCCTCAGCCTGCACCACACTCCAGCCCTCTGAGGCTTCCTCTGTGCAGTCATCCTGAGTCCTCTCCCTGGCCTCTTCTGCAGAAGCCCGAGCTCCAGCCCGTGTCGGCTCACTCTCGGACTAGGCATCCCATGGGCCCTCTGTGCCGGTTTCTCTCAGTTCTGTCTGCCAAGCAGCTCCTCCAAGCCTTTGGAGCCCCCTTTCTGTGCCCACTGACCTCCCTGCTGGTGAGGGGGCTTCCTTGGGTGAGGGCACTTTTCCTCCTTTGCCTTCCCTCCCCGAGGTGACCAGTCCTGCCCCAACTTCTTTTTCCTCTTTGTTTCTTCTGCTCAGTTTTCTGTGGATTCTCCGTGTATTTCAGATGTAAGAGATATTTTGCCAAAGTTCAGTAGGTATTCTGTGATAACTGTTCCTCATGTAGATGTTTGTGGGAGAGGGTGAGCACCACATCCTTCTATTCCACCACCTTGGCAATCCCTCATTCCTTAAATTTTACAATTAAGACAACCCATCACACGTTATGAAAACCACAGAAGGGAGTGGTTGGCTGCGTAGGCAGAAATCATGACTCTGATGGAATAACCCCAGTTCCAAGGCCTGGATTTCAGGTTTCAGTTCAGTAATACTTCTTACCTGTTTTCTGAAATGTGATGAAACTCTGGACATTGGTTCTCACTAACTAAGCTCACATGAAAATGTGAAATCAGAGTTCTGAAATTTCACTAAGAAGTCAAATGATTAATGATTAATAGGACCAAAATGCTAACCTCTGTTAGACAGAGCAGTTTACCATTATTAAATTTGATTTGGAAAAGTCAGTGAAGATTAGATGGTGGTTTTGTGAGTAAAATCTAGCCAGAATAATGGCATTTGGGTGATCTTAAGAGATGTTATCATTAAGCTCTGGTAGCCTTACACAGCATTTTAGATGTTTGATATTATTACTGGTATATTCATATGATTCAGAAAGGGCACTTGTTTCACCAGAACTGTTACAGTTCTTAGCTGTATAACTCTCTCTGTTAGGTATTTCTTTTATCAGTCTAAAAACTTCCGTCATTCTGTTTGTATGCTGGAGAAATTATTGTGTAAGAGAATAGTTTGTTTCATTAATAATATTTAACAAAATCAAAAAATAAATGTGTTGTTCCTTGTTCAGTCTCAACACTTATATTCTTTTTCCAAAAAGCATTTTAAAATTGCTTATTACCTCCTGTGTTTTGACTATATAGTCAAAGCCCATTTCTATGTTTAAAAAATAACTGTCCTCATCATTAGAGAAGCAGCATAGCATAATGAAAACAGCTCTAACTTTTTCCCAGTTTTTTTTATTGTGGGAAAATATACATAATGTACTATTTACTGTCGTAACCATTTTTAAGTGTAGCATTCAGTGGTATTAAATACATTCATAATGCTCTGCAGCCATTACCACCATCCATCTCCAGAACTCTTTTCTTGTAAAACTAAAACTTTGCACCCGTTTAGAAGTAACTCGATTTGAGGTAAGTTGTTGCTGACTGGCTTACTTTAGATTCACATGGTGGTAGGTTTTTCTCCAGCTTTGTTTAGCTGTATAGGTATCCAGAGTAGGTAGAGTTGGTTAAAGTAGATTATGGCTCATCCAAATGAATAAAATGAAGTGAGACCAGAACAAGGAGTTTGGGGGGATACGCAGGGGAGTGAGATTGCATTTCACCTAAAGCTTTTAGAATGTGTCTATAACATAAGAATTAAAAAATAACCACAAGCAAATGAATAATAGTCCTAACTTAGATTTAGTTACTCAAATTTGTCTGATTCTCAGAAATGTTTTTTATACTTAATTTGTTCAAATCAGACCCAGACAAGGTCTGTACATTGCATTTGATCCCTGTGCCTCGTAAATCACTTAATATCACTTTCCTCTTACTCCCCATTTTTCATGTCATTCATTTGTTAAAAAAAATTGGTACTTTTGTCATGTATTTTGTCATATTTTACATTTGGCTGGCTGAATTCTTGTGGCACTATTTTAAAACTAAAAAATTCTTTTAAATCATGGTAAATTATACATAAAATTTGCTGTCATAATAATCATTTTTAAGTGTACAGGTCAGTAGTGTTAAGTATATTCACATTGTTGTGTCCTGTGTTATTTTTAACATGTTCCTCTGTCTCCCTTATTTAGTGTAAATTGGTACCAGATCTAGAGAGGCTTGATTTGATTCAAGTTTGATTTTTTATTTTTAATTTTTTGAATGAAGGGGCAAGGGCATTTGTAATGTTGGGATGTAAGTCTAGTTGTCCCAATAATGACATTAGTCCTTGGATTGAAGTCTTTTAGCCTGATTTATTTAAAATTTTTCCTGTGGATTTTTTCACATAATGCTTTAATTAACCATTGATGGTCATCTATTTTTTTCATATGCGATTGTAAAAGGATGTTTTTTTCTGATTATGTAACTCTTTCTGCATTTATTAGCTGGAACTCTGTTAAGAACACTTCCTCGTCTAGTGTCTGCCAGAAATGTAGGATTAATGCTTGATTCTTTCCCTTTATTGTCCAATTTTCAGGTGATGAGTTTTTTTTTTTTAATTAACAGTTTGGATTCATGCAGTTTATAATGACTCATAGTCATTCTTTTGATGTTCAGATTGCCTTATCTGCAGCCAGTGGGACCTCTTCAAGCTGGCTCCTGTGTTCTTCACAGCCATAGCATCTTCTTTAGAGTCAGACTTAATGGTATTTTTCTGATCCCAGACCTGAAATCCTCCATTTCTGCAATGAACTCCTAGTTCCTTTTAGTGGAAAATTGTATTTAGAGATCATAATATGGGTGTCTTCTTTTAAAAAATGTGTTGTTACTTGATTCTTCCAAATACTGATTAATTTCTTTTCTTAATTCAACAGGCATGCCCAAAGAAAAATACGAGCCCCCTGACCCTCGGAGGATGTACACAATTATGTCCTCTGAGGAAGCTGCAAATGGAAAGAAAGCACGTTGGGCGGAGCTTGAAATAAGTGGTAAGACGTGCAAGAGTAAGTTTATGGTATGGAAGTTAAAATACGGTAGAAAAGTAAATATTCTAGTGCTAATAACACAAGAGAAGCACTGTTGTATTTTACCAGTGCTAATTTATCTTAGAAGCTGGAAGATTCAGTGGAAAGAACATGGTTTGAATCAAAGTTCAAAACCCATTCATTGCTTATTCCCTCAGTATCAGTGTCCTTTCATACAATGGGGATAATAATATCAAGGGTGAAATAAAGATAACGCATGTGAAATGCCTAGTGTACAAAGGTTTGTTCTGATTCTTAATTCTCTGATAGAGTAGGACAGAGCTTCTGCACTGTCAGATTACGGGTTTCCAGTGGGGTGGGAGATGTCTGTTCTAGTGGAGGTTCTGGGGTAGATTTGTTTCTCTTCATTTTCTTCATTTGCTTTTCAGTCTGAGTCTGAGGACAGCCTTATTCAGAAACACAAAATGTTAATAGAGTTTGAATCAGATCTCAAAATTGTCTTCTACCATTAATGCAGTCTAGACGCATTCAAAGAAATACATGAGCTTCCAGATCCACAGAGGATATTCTTAGCATCCCTGCCGATGGGCATGCAGCCTCCTTTTTAATACTTCAAGAGTGGTGAAGGGACGTTCTTCTCAAGGCAACCAGTACTAAAGAAGTTTTGTGTTCATGTTGGGCTAATATGCCTCCTCATACTTTCCTTCCAGTTTGTCTTGATTTTTGCCTTCTCAAATAGTACAGAGCAAGTTGTCTTTTCTTTCACCTGATTGCCCTTGAATTTTTGTGTTTTAATGTAGTAAAACCCTGAGCATATGCTATGTGTACAACATTTTGCCAGGCACTGTACGAGGCATATGGAAGATCTATAGATGAAAAAAACACAGTCCCTTTCATTCTAAAGCTTATTGTGTGTTAGGGACTGAGGTGAAGGGAATATACCAGCAATAGACAAAGTATAACTGCCAAAACCAGGTAGAAACGTGCGATACAGGAAGCAAAAAGGAAGTAATGATAATAGTATTTCTCCCTTGTCAGCTCGAAATTCCTTGTTAACCTATCGAGTAAACCTGAACACCCTTCTCTGCAGCAGTAGCAGAGATCAGTACCCACATGGGTCTCTCCTGCTTTCCCTCTTAGGATTTTTGAAGTACTGGCTTTAATTTAGCAGAATTCAGTTTCATAAAGTAGGTGTGGTGGAGAGTGAAATTTCTCTCTTTTGCCTCTCCTGTCAAGTGTGATTTTCTATGTCAGGGGAGTCTTCGAAGCACAGGCAGTCACCACTCCAGCTTCCCCCTTTTAATTTCTGCAGGATTGGTATTTAACTTTATTTTGCTCTTTTTTCAGTCTGTATTGCAATTTTTGAGTTAAAAATTGCTTCTAGGAAGTTTCCCCTTTTTTGCATATGGGTAATCTGGAAAGTAATCATTTAGGTCATTTGCTCTCTCCTGCTTCTACGTCTTGTTGGGAACTCCTCGGCAATTTTGAGTCACTGTTCTCCCCATACTCTGAACTTTGGTGAGAAATCTGTACACAAGATAGGAAGGAAGAGGGGAGATTCCTCTAAAGTAACGTTCTTAACAAATAGTCTTACTTGTACCAGGTATTGTGGAGGATAAACTATTGGTTGAATGGGTCTGTGGAACAAGACTTTGTAATCAACAAAACCACTCTCAGGAAGGTCACTTTATTGTCTTAGTCCTTAATATGTAAACTCCTTTGTGTAGAATTTTTCAAGGCTGAATTCATTTCATGCTAAGTTAGTTATTTCATGTATATGCTTCAGCATCAGTTCCTTAAGATCCTGGATACAAAGTTCTAGGGATCTGGGGTCCTTGACTCCTGGACCTGCAGTTATTTCATATACTTCTCTGGTTCCAGGGTGGGGGTGGTGAGTTCCTTGTGCCGTTTGAAGGTAACCAGATAAGCCAAATGACTATTAATCATTTGCTTTTTAAAGAAAACATTTTTTTAACTGCAAAATGAAATACAGATAAAGAAAACCACACAAATAGATTAGGAAATTATTATATAAGGCCAGGGTGTTGTAACTACTACCCCGGTCAAGAATTAAAAGTTTTTCACTTACCCTAGAACTGCTTCTGTACCAGAGCCAATCACAACCACTTAGCTGCTCCCTAAAAGTACCCTGACTTTTATAGTAATCACTTTTCCTGTCCCCTTATAGTTTAAACACCAAATTATGTATACCTAAGCATTATAGTTTAGTCCCTCTACCCTTTTTATTTAAATGTCTTAATTTACAGGTTTCCCCTCCATCCTCCTCTTACAGTTTCTCTGTTGAACCTGAGCAGTTTGACCTGTTGTTTACCTGTAGTCTGCGTTTTGCTGCATGCGGCTCAGCATGTTTCTCATCCAAATGGGAGGCAGGATGCAGAGGCTTGAGCAGACTGATTTAAGACCCTTGGCAGGACTGAAGTCCTGTTGTGTCCGTGGTGTTGTGCTTTTTCTTCGGGAGACACAAGATCTGAAGACCTTCTTTCCTACTGACGTTAATTGCCTAAAGCAGTTAATTCTTTGAGCTGTGTCTGTAGAGAGGTATTTTCCCTCATTTACTGATTGATTGCTCAAGGTACAGTTTGTATAGGAAGGGCAGAAAAGAATGCTTATTTTCTTTCCTTTTATTTACTAGTTTTGAGGATAAACTGTTACACTTTGTGGGTGACCAATTAGGTTTTTAAAATATCCTTATTAACTAGTATATTTGGGTTTCAAACATATGCCGTGGGTTGTCATTATTCTTATTTTGATGCTTAAATTGTCCTGTTGTTGCTTAGTGGGAGAGCTTCTTTAAATGACTCCTGGGTTCTGTGACATAACCTTGGTTGTCGTTGGTAGTGTCCTTGCTGTCTGGTATGGTCATCTTGTATTTCCTGTCTCAAACCTGAAGTGTGTCATTTTTTCCCAAGAAAAAGTGATTGTTTTAGAAATGCTATTTGAGGACCATAGTAACTGCTCATGATGCTCGTTGTTACTGAGTTAGTCATTATTTCTAGGTCTTCTCACCAGACAGAGCCATGAAATAGGACGTATATGTATGTGGTCATATACGTTTATGATGAAAGGTGTGATATATAGTATTTATATAATAAAATGTCTTTAAAGCTGTAGAATGTATTTGTATATATAAAGTTAAAATATCATATGAAAATACATTATTTTTTATTTATGTTCAGAATAATGAGTTTTAACAAACCTTTTTTATAATAACATCTGTATCTCTTTTAATACTGAGAGTCCCGGTTCCCAGGGACGTGGGATGATGGAATTTGAATGTCCCATGATGACTTACTTGCTTTATCCCATATCACATACATAATAGTCTCAGAATAACTACTAAAGATACTGCCACCACGTGAGTACTGAGAGTAGGTAACGCTTTGCGTATTATCCCCCCCCACCCATTAAGTAGGTGTACTCTCTATATTGTCAGAGTATGTAGCCATTCAATACTGTCAGCTTTCCCATCTAATGTTCATAAACCACCCCATTTAGAATTAGTTTTGCAAGTAACTGTGTATCCAGTGCCTCCTACAAGTTAATTTGTCTCTGTGATCATTTTGGTTTTCTAGATTGTTCTCTAGATGTTTCCTTAGAAAGTGCTCACTGGAACAGTCTTCTCTGAGTTCTTGCAAGTTGGTAACAGTTTCTGCCCTTTATATTTTGAGAGTCAGTTTGGGTGAATGTAAAATCCTCAGAATCAAGGAATTCTTTCCTTGAGCATCTTGCATATATGTTGCTCCAGTTTTGCTGTAGGCTTGATGATAGTGTAATTTTCTTTCCCTGACAAGTTACTTCCTCTTTTTGGCCTAGATGCCCAAAGGATGTTTTTCTCGTAAAATCAGTAATTGTACTTAAATACATCTTGATATTGGTTGTTTGGCTTTGATATTCTCAGATGTAGCGTGCCCTTTCAAAGTGTAGCTTGAATTTTTTTTTCCTTTTAATTTCAGGAAAGTTCCCTTGGATTAAAATTTCAGTATTTGTTCTGATCCTTTGCTTTTTTTTTTTTTTTCCCAAGAGAGGTTTATTTTCTGAATTTGAATATTTTTGTTTGTCTCTAGAATCATTTTTAAAAATAAAGTACAGTAAAATTCACTCTCTGATCTTTGCTCCATTCTTTTACAAATACAGACCACTATGTGTAACCACCATTATAATTATAATATGGGAGGAATTTCATCACTCTCCTCAAAATCCCCCTGCTCCACTGTAGGCAGACCCTCCCTACACTTTCAGCCACTGGCAACCACTGATTTTTTTTTAATCAACTTTTTTAGAGCAGTTTTAGGTTCATAGCACATCTGACATGAAAGTACAGTGCATGAGCCCTCCACTAGCAACACCCCCACTAGAGTGGTGCGTTTGTTAGTCGATGAACCTTCATTGACACATCATCATCACCCAAAGTGCATAGTTCTTTGGGTTTAGTCTTGGTGGTGTACATTTCTTGGGTTTAGACAAATGTACAGTGACGTTTATCCACCATTATCACATCATACAGAGTAGTTTCACTGCTCTAAAAGTCCTCTGTGCTCTGTCTGTTCATTCTTCCCTCTCCCTGAATCTCTAGCAACCACTGATCTTTTTACTGTATCTTTTTACTGTCTCTATAGTTCTGCTTTTTCCAGAATGCCACATCCTTAGAATCAAACAGAATGTAAAGTTTTTAAATTAAGTCCTTTGACTTAGTAATATGCATTTAAGTTCCTCCATGTCTTTTCATGGCTTGATAGTTATTTCCTTTTAGTGCTAAATAGCATTCCATTGTCTGGATATATCACAGTTTATCCATTTACCTACTGAAGGGCATCCTGATTTCCTCCAAGTTTTGGCAGTTATGAATGAAGCAGCTATAAGTGTCCATGTGCAGGTTTTTGTGTGGACATAAGTTTTCAACTCCTGAGTAAATGCTAAGGAGCACGTTTGCTGGATCAAATAGTAAGCATTCACATTTAATTTTGTAAGAAGCCTCCAAATTG